CACCTCGTCCACTCTCAATGTGTCCTAGGAATTCTACTATCAAAAAAGTGGCAGAGTTTATAACTGTTTGCAGGATACTCTTCCGTATCGTCTGAATACTTTTCGGCGAAATCGTGAGCTTTGCGATGTGGTTCTTTTTGTACATGAAAAAGAGATTCTTGCTCACAAGGTTTCAATTTTTCTGCGTTTTACTACATTTTTCTTGCAAAATACCCTTTTTTTCGTAAAATTAGCCAAACCAACAAATCTTTCATTACCCCAGAACAAATTTTTCAATGGACCGAAACACTTCTTACCATTATTAATAATTTCACAAATTTTCCAATTTTCATTTCTTATCTTCTCTTTCCTTTTTTTTCTGTTTTTTCTGTTCTTCGCTATTATAAATTTCCGTTGAATATTTTCGCCAAGCAATATTAAAAAGACCCTTTCGAGACCCTAAATAAAAAGACCTTTTTAAAAAGACTATCGAAATGCGGTGCTATAACATTGAGCCTCCTTACACCGAAAATAAGCTTTATTCCAAAAAAAAAAAAAAAAAAAAACAAAACAAACGGGGTCAGAAGAGGCGATTTCGGAAGCAACACGGTGCCATCATTCATCAACAGCTTGACAGTATTGGACTGTTATAATCTCTGATTGTATTACTTCTATGTAACAAGAGCGGGGGGAGGGGGAGATGGGGAGAGGGGAAAATTCGTGTCTTGAGACGGGACATTTGCATATCACATAGTAGTGCAGGGCAGTTGAGATATACAAAAAGGCGATCGCCTGTTTTTAGTCCTTTCTATTTCTGGTACAGCTTACCTTTTACAATAATGCTTCTGAAATCTATTCAAGCCCCGTAAGATGTATCTTTGTCAGACTAACAGCCTATTTCATCGTCTTTTACATGGTATTCATTTTCTGGTATTGCCTCAGTGCTGTCCGTTTCAAGACTTTCCCAACTATCGCATTTCTTCTCGAGAATGCTTCTGTTTCATGCCCTGAAAGGACTGCTAGCTGGACTCAGCGGTTTTATCGACCAAAAAACGTCACAAATTTTTAGCTATTCCGAGCTCTCCTTGATTAGTTTTGAATACGATTACCTCGTTTCTACATATATTTATAATTACGTGGTTTGACTAAAGTAACACAACGAAACGTAAATTAATAAAAGGCAATAAAAAAAGGGTGCTGAAGTTCTGGGGAGCCGGAGTTCCCAAGTACAGGGGAATATTGCTACCTCCTTATTGATTCAAAGAAGGCATTCCTCCTGATTTTGAGTTTTCTATGGAAAATTTGTTGCATGCGGAAGCCTTCCTTCTACTATCCAACACATAACTTTTCAGGGGTTTGAAGGAATTCTGCTAAAACATGCTTGTATGCGAACCAAAAATAGATTTTTTTTTGCACTGTATCTGTTGTTATAGTGTGATTGCTTTGCATTATTTTGAATAGCTAATTCAGAAAATTTGAGGTTGTTTTGGCAGCTTGTTCGCCAGCGCTGATGGATATGTTCATTGGCAGTGAAAGCATGAAATCGCTACAATCGCTAAGTAATTTTTTTCTTGAACTTCTTTTCTTCTGCAGTTAGTTATAATTTAGGTTAATATCCGCATTCGTTCTGATCAGCTTTTGTTTCATCACGAGCAATCAGCTCTCTTAAACGGATTGCTTTGAGAAGCTGGTACATCATCTGATGGTCAGCTGGGAGGTGGG